TAGTGAGTCCAACTTCGGAAGCAGTTTGTTCCAATACATATGAGTTCTGGGATCCACTATCTAACATTGCTCGAACAACTTTTGATTTATTTTCGCCATCAATCTTTACCATGATTGTTTGAAGTAAGACATCTTGGCACCGAACTTGATTCGACATGTCCACGGATGCATTTATGTTCTTACTTCTCTCTTCAATCCCATCAGATTTTTGGCTGCCTTTTGAAACTGGACATAAGATTGCCCTGTGTTTTTTTACTACAGATGACACATTTCACTACGTTTCTGCAATACTTGGAAAAGTGTCCGGGCTTCAAGCAAGAATAACAACACTGTTTCTCTTGAATTATTTTCCTTCTTTCTTCAAGAGACATTGACATGGCTTTACAGCATTGTTCACTCAAATGTTTTTCATCACAAAATACACATTTATAAGCGTTATTTGACTTCCCATCAGCAACTACCAGACTTGCAGCGGTGGCGACAGATGTCTTCGGCTTGGGCGGCTTATCTCGATTAAATTGTGATGGATACGAACTCGAAAACGGTTGACGAGCCAAACGCATTCTTTCACTTCCCTCAACTTCGTGTTTTAGGAATTCCATAAGCTTCTCCAGGAGGACTTCACTTGATTTATGCTTTCCATCTTCATCAGGCTTGTGATGATGACGAGTCCTTTCCCACGCGACGAAGAGATCTTCAGGTAAAGCTGATTCCACCATGGGGTACAGAATAGCAGCGCATTTATCTGTTGTGACTCCTAAAGATCCCAACGCTCGTAGTTGTGATGATAACCGAACGTATACAGTCGAAAAAGATGTCGTGTTCCTTCCATGAGCATTTTCCAAAATGATAGCAATCAAATCCCTTACGTACACTTCCACCAACATGTCTTCACGGCCAAAACGTTCCTTAAGAGTGCTGATGGCAAGTGGATAATTTGCCGCTGAGTTTGGAAAGGATGAAACTATTTCCTCCGACACCGATCCCTTTATCATGCAATTTTGTAGGTATTGGAACTTGACACAGGCCGAAATGGAGTCATCATCGTGGACGCTTTGAAAGGCTGACCAGAACTGCAGCCACTCCCGTGCTTCTCCTCCAAATTTCGGTAGTTCCAACTTCGGAAGTCGATGAAGATTTGACTTTCCTTCGTTCCCCCCGGAAACTATTGATTCTCGGTCTACTGTTGGTTTTGCTAGTAATTGTTCCATTTTTTGCAAAACGCCTTCAGACCTTCCAAATAGATTCGCTTGAACGATATCGACATCTTCAATTTCTTCATCTTCTCTATCCGCCTTTATCAGTTGTTCGATGAGACAATCACTGGCAATTAAGAACCTGTCTTTACATCTGAGGAGCTTTGGTCGTAGAGACATCAACATTTCTAGGCTTGGTTCTTGCTTTCCAAGTTCGCCATCTGCTTCTGCAATAACACTTTCCAAAGTCCTCTTTTTCGTCTCACAAGCTTTCTTGAGTTTGTCCATCTTAAATCCTTGGCAGGGCTCGCCACAATGTTCGGTACACTTTTTGAATGGTACACTATGACAGGTTCGTTTGGTATTGGAAGAATGATTCAATTAATCATCCTTGATATTTTAAATTTTATTCAGGATAAATATAGATATAAATATTATGTTACAAATTAATTTTAGTAATTAAAGAAGTTAAAAAATGTTCGATTGAAAAGGATGGATTGGGAAGGAAGTCAGTCCGTGTTGGCCGTCAGTATTCGAAGGGCCCATGCCCCGTGCTTACCACGTGACCGCCGCCGCCGCGCATGCGCGCCGACCGTGACGTCGCCACCGTCCCTCGGCGGTGGTGTTGGTTGAAAACTGTTCTTCTCTTCGTCGCGCGGGCTTGCCTTTCACTAACAACGATGATAACAAGTTTTCTTATCACTAAGTTTGTTATCTTAAATATTATTTATCAAAAGTAAGATTATCTCAGGATGACACGGCAATTTATTTGCGACAAGAATAATGATACAATTCCAAGGCGAATATACTATTCCTTTAACTTCCAATTACCGAGGGAACCAATTAATATTGATTTTATTCAACTTATTGAGTATTTCTCAAGGGACCGGGAAAAAATGTTCACTAGATAAAACTATGATTTTGTAATGTAGAAAATTAGGAAAGAGAAAATTCATGATGACAAGGCACACAGGGACCGGGAAAAAATGTTCACTTTATCGAGAGATTCAAATTTACGAGTTTCAAATTATCAAAATATATCTTTTTTATATTTTTCAATAAGTTTTTAGAGAATTGTTTTAACAAATGTTCGCTAGACAAACCGTTACTCGGGTAAAACCCCGGGGGAAGCCGAGTACGTTTTATAAGTTTAAAGAGAATTGTTTTAACAAATGTTCGTTAGACAAACATTCACTCGGGTAAAACCCGGGCGAAGCCGGGCACATCCGCTAGTAAAAAATAAATAGAAATTTCATTTGCAATATTTCGAAAGAGGACTCTCTCTTCTGCCTTTTTATTTTGTAACCAATCATCGTGTCTCAGCCAACCAACCAATCAAGTAATGGAATTTACTGATTTCATATTGTTTGACATTTTTTATTGATTTAAATTGTTGGTATCTTCTTTTTACAGTTTTATTTACTCGTCTACTTTGACATAAAGCGCTATGTCCCCCTAGGGACACTTGCGCTGTCATACATGTATGACATTTGTCTATACATATATATACAATAATTTTAGGCCATGAATAGAATAGTCATATGATGTTAACAATGAGAAACAGAGGGAGAAAAAAGAACTGTATACAAAAGAAAGAAGTGTCTTGCAATATGTACAATCAACATAATATAAATTATCAGTTTCTTAAAAGATATTTGTTGCTATATAATTTAAAATATATCTACAAAAGGTATTGAATTTAAAATACATTTCTTTATTGGAAATAAAAATACTTGACTCTGTTACTATTAAATTATTGTCGATTCTATAGTCTTGAAAAACAGAACAATCCAGTAAAAGATGAATTGAGGTTCTATCAACTATACTTCATTCTATCAAAAATTCAATTTGAAATATTTAAAATTTCTTTAAATATATATAGAATTTTCCAAATAAAAGATTTCTTCTTCTTCCTTATCTCCACTCAATCATATTAGGGTATCAAGTTGTGACCCTTGATGGTGTCTGTTTGACAACCATCATGACTGGGTGAAGTATTATAGAATGCCTTTGTCATTAAGACTGGGAGCACTACTCATTGGCAGGCCGACTTAGCTCCAAAAGAAATGGCCGCCTCTGGCATGAGGAACAGACGCCTTGTGCAGCCGCTCCTAACATGGAGTACAAACGCTGCTCATCCTGTATCCCTGGGTTAGGAGCCCTTACAAGGTACTATCAGCCAGGCAAGCTGAGCCCAGGTTTTTTAGTGAGCTTGTTACTGCTCCCCCTCCTCCTTTTTCATCCGGGCTTGGGACCGGCAAAGGCGAAGTTATAAAAGATTTGATTACCTAATTTCATATGTCAAAGATAAAAGATTTGATTACCTTTGACGTATGAAATTTTATCAATTGACTGAATTTTTTTATGACTCTCTCTGTTAACTTTAAATAAATTGATTATTGTTGCGATATAATATTTGCAAACGATAACTGAAATATTCTTTTGAGTATTTTCACAACAGCAGAGGATATACTTAATTAATTAAAAGCCAACAATTATTTACAGTAAATATATTTAATTATTATGTTGGTGATCTTTATATATACTTTCGAATACCTTTAAAAGTATGAAACGCTCGTAAAGCTTCAGTGACAGATTCTGATTCACAATACAAAAATTCACCAAGAGTGTTTTATCCTGTAGTGACTTCATTCCAGAGTAAAATAAATTATCAGAGATAGATATTTTTCAAATGAATTAAAATAAATATAATCGATACTGAGAGAGATTTGAATTAAAAAATTCGAAATTTATTATATTCGAAATTTAAATCGCTGAGAGGATTCCAGCAAACCGAATCTAAAATATCATTTTTTTTTTATTGCTACATGTTTTAATTTGCATTTACCCATTTTACATATCTCGGATTGCATTTAAAAATCGTCATCCAATTCTTCTACTTTTGGCGAAATGGTGTTTTATGAATTTATCATTTGATATTATTAGGGTTCTTTCCTGGTTTTCAAAAAGGAAAAATACGTATCGATCAGTTATATTTTTCAATTGATCAAACAATTCGGCCGCTGAATATCTGATTCTGGTAAAGCGCCATCTAGCGAATAAAATTGTAACTAAAATCAATTTAGAAATTTTCATTATTTGCCCTAAAAGATCCCATTGTATCCTGAACACAAAAGTGTTTACCGCATTGCTCTAGCACAAATATTCGCAGAGTTATTAATTTTTAAAGTTGTGCAAGACTTTTGGATTACCCTGTATATAAAATGCTTAAATCCTTTCATTATATATATACTAGCCGAATGACCCGGGCAACGCCCGTGTTTTACCCGATTGAATGTTTTTATTCAAATACTATTTGTTACAATTATAAATTGGCGCCTTAAATAAATGCATATATTAGTTAATAACTATAGCCTATGTGCTTTATCTGCCTATGTACTGTTGGCTTCCGTAGGAAAGACGCTCGTAACTGTATATAGAATAACTAAAGCCTACCGCCCGCCATGCGCGCGCACAGGGAAGTCACGTGCTCGCCGGCAGCCAACGGGCGCGCGCCGCCGGCAGGGGGGGGGGGGCAAAGGTGGCGTGACCGAAGCCAACCAATAAAAGCAAACGGTGACAGAGAGAGAGAGAGATGACTGATTAGGAGATGAGGAAAGACGCTCGTAACTGTATATAGTATATATGTCGCGTTATTGCTTTGTGTTAATATTCCATATACAGTTACGAGCGTCATGGCCTCTGTCACGGTTTGCCGGCGCCCTCCTATTGGTCGGCTACGATCACGCCACCTTTGCCCCCCCCCCATCATTTGGTGCCGCCAATGCGCGAGACACTTCTGTCACCGTTTGCTTTTGTTTCAGTGGTAGAATGCTCGCCTGCCACGCGGGCGCCCCTGGTGCGATTCCCGGCCGATGGTTTGGGGCGGGACGTTTCATAAGAGTGACATCTACGGCGCCAATTTATAATTGTAACGAATAGCATTTGAATAAAAGCATTTAATCGGGTAAACCCCGGGCGTTGCCGGGGTCATTCGGCTAGTATATATATATATGTGATGAGGTCCTGTTGACTCTTGTAGAATCCTGTCGACTGAAACTGTGGTGAGGTATCCAGTCGACTTAAACTATGGTGTGAGTCCCTGTCAACTCTCGCTATACTGTGTTGACCGAGAGGAACAGTCAGGATGGGGAGTTTTCCAGTACCTCTCTGCACCTTGTAAGACCTTTAACAGTTCTCACAGAGTACAGGCAGTCGTGGTCGAGGCAGAGTGGAAAGCTTGGGAATGTCCACACAAAAAACGAAGACACAGTTGCACTAAGAAAGTTCCGTGAACAGATAAAAGTTGAGCTAGGAGCGAAAGATGGAGATAGAAGAGTTCTTACTGGTCTACATGGTCGATGAGGAGGACCTTGGTGACCACTGACGAGGGCTCGCGCTGATGGTGAAGTGACTGTCAAGTGACTAATTTTTGGCTAGGACGGAGGCCTTTTATATCTTTTCCGAGAAAGGGAGTATTGCATTTCAGCAGATGCGACAGGGGCGTGGATCGTCTGGCGAAATTCTACACTGGCGCCTTGGCAGTTTCCATCTTTAGACCTTGTTGTTTTGGGACTGCTATATGCTCGATCTCTGCCTTAGCTCAACTCTTAATCTATTACAGAGTTTTATTTATTTATCCTCAGTTTGTACAAAGTACAATACATATGATGATGTAATGACGCATGTCAACAATGCGTATAATCATTTACAGATGTGTTTCAATTATACAACATGAAAATCTTGTTATAAGTTATATACAATATGGGGTTGTTGGTTTGAATTACCATATATATGTGTTCCACAATATTCTAAAATCTTTTTAAAGGCTAATATATTAGAATGTATAGTTTTATTTACAAGCAGAAGAATTAACATAGTTATTTCTATTGAAGTAAAGGGTATATATGAAGAATCTAGATATAAATTAAAACCTATAAAAAAAACCTTTTGTGAAGATTTCAAACCTCCGCGAAAGATTAAAAATAATTGTGTTACACTTGAGTTCAATTTATGTAATTTGTTGTGATTAGTAAACAAATCTGTGAAATATGGTATGTTTTGACTAAGTATTTGTTTGTTTTTAAATGGTATAAAGACAAGGCCATTAGGAATAAATTAACACAAAGCAATAACGCGCCATCTATACATATAAAATAAAAGGATTTAAAAGCGCGAATGTTTCTTTTATACATAAAACGAACTTCTACTGTCCTTACTGCGATGAGAAAATATATTGGGAGGGCTTGGCTCATCAGTGGCCTTGTCTTTATAGTTTGCTGAAGAGGATTGCTCGAAGCAAATATTTGAATGTAATTCTACTGTCCTATAAGCTTATGTCCATAGTTTGCTTGAAAACCATTTCTAAGATTCCATCCTTCAGTGTAGCATATAAAAGCAGAATGATCCAATTCAGTATTAGAGCTCTGAGAAGCGGTCTGGGAGATTAAATTGGCGAAACCGCTGGAAGGGTTCACCACTGATGAGCCAAGCCCTCCCAATATATTTTCTCATCGCAGTAAGGACAGTAGAAGTTCGTTTTATGTATAAAAGAAACATTCGCGCTTTTAAATCCTTTTATTTTATATGTATAGATGGCGCGTTATTGCTTTGTGTAAATTTATTTAAATTTATAAATCTGCATTATTGTAAAATTGAAATTTCCCTACAACATAATTGTATCTATAAATAATAGAGACACACATATAAATATTAGTAAATTTACATTTGAAAATAAATTTTTAATTATAAATTGTTATCTAATAAATTTAAAATTTAGATTTTATCTTTCCCAAACTAATCCAACGTTCAAGAATATTTTTCCGAGAGATGTTCCAAGCTTCATTGCTCCTGATAAATACACTACTTTGTTCTTCACAGGCAAAGGACCCTTTTTAAGTTTTCTCTTTGACTTGAGAGTTATAAATGATCCAACATGTGAATGCTGTCTAGATGTTGAAACACCATCTTTTGTTGGCTTGCCCTCTGACAAACAAATTGTACTTGCTGACTTTGACATAATGCCATCTTTCTGTATATACTCAATCTTATGAAAACTTTGGCAAGTTTAGAGCTATTTGTACACAGATTTATAAATCACTACCATCGTGTAAATAATTAAAGATATATATGTAAATAATTCTAATATAACACAATAGTCTGATAGACTTCGTGCTTCTGTAATAATAAAAAATAAAAAATCTAATAAATTTAATGATTTTATTTATTTTCAAGTTGAATATTTATTTTTTTAATAAACTGCTTAATATATCAAATTTGGGAAAAGGAGCATAAAATTCCCGCCAATTTCTCATCTAAAATATATTCTTTTGTTTGAAAACTTAACTAAAGAACATAAACCATTTTAAAATATATAGAGATACCCCTATACATTCCTAGAGGTAGTTTCTTATTAGAGGTTGTTCTAAATAAAAAGAAACCAATTTAAATTTTAATAACAAGTATGGTTGCTTATATATGGAAAGATATCATCTCTCATCAGAGAATAATTGAATATTATATATAATCATAAAAGATCATGGCGCGTAAACTTTCTCTAAGTCAACTCCATTGTGTCTGATGCAATGTTTAAAGATTACCGCTGCCGCTGTAAACAAAGTCGAGCCCTCTATGAGTCATTGTTGTTACTATTTTATGAAAATATTTATGTTAGGTAAAAAATGCATGTAGATTTTAATGGTGTAATCTATTTTTTTATATTTTAATTATTTAATATTAATTGTAAAAACATTTGGAGTGACCCTTGTATATGAGAATTAGATATAATAATATATGGTAGAACAGAATTCATTGGAGTATTTAGATTCCTGTTGATGGGACATGTGATGTAGGTAGGAATGTTAGCTGGACATAGTGGGACAGCCTTGGGTACCTGGAGTTCACAGACATACTTCACCTGTCCCGTTCAGGGTCACCTCCCCACCACTTTGAGGTAGTTAACAGTTTTTGGGAGAGACACAATAATATATAAATAAACCTTAACCATTTATGTAGAACGACATTTGAAAATTATCCCGCATGTGTTTCTTTTAAACGAAAAATCAAAATTTATTTTAATGAGAAGTAACGATTATTTCTAACCTTAGGGATGAGGTATGAAAGGATGAATTGTGAAGAGTAATGATTCCCATCCCTGGACACTTTTATTTTTCTGTTTATCATTACTCTTCACAATTCATCCTTTCATACTTCATACCTAACGATAGAAATAATCGTTATTTCTCCTTAAAATAAATTTCGATTTTTCGTTTAAAAGAAACACATGCGGGATAATTTTCAAATGTGGTTCTACAATCATAAGCCGCATTATATTGTATTATATATAACCCCATTTATATTTTGGAATTAGAATAGAATTTATTCTCCCAAAATATTTCTATATATGTTATAGTTTATTTAAAGAGAGGGAGATATAATAATATGGATTGCTCTCAATCTAAATATATATACATATATATTTTTAGATAAAAAAGGCATATATTGAATTGAATAAAAATATTTATTTGCCTGTTTATGTAATAAAAAAGCATATATTGGATTGAATAAAAATATTTGTTTCAAAAATAGAGAAAACTATATTTAAATCTTTATTATTTTATATATATAGGTATTTTTCCGGGGAGGATATCGATCTAGAATATTTAAAAAAGATCACCTCTTCCGTCAAAATAGACTAAGATTTTAGCCTAGCTACTAGCTAAATACCTACACCCATACCTCGCTTTGCGTCGGGGTTACGTTCCAAAAAAAAAACACGACGCAAATTGAAACGACGCAAAGTGAAAATATGTGAAGGCGCAATCAAAAACAAAGGTGCTGCCATATTTTAGGGAAAAAAATTCAAAAAAAAAAATTAAAGACTCGAATCCAAAACAACGCAACTTCGAAAATCTAACGACGCACAGTGAAAATCAGTAAAAATTAAGCAGCGACGCAACTTCTAAAAAAACGCAAAACGAAACGACGCAAAGCGAGGTATTGGTGTACGAGTATTTAGTATATTGGGTATTTTCTATTTGATCTCTTGTGGACTGTCCAAGGGCACCAGAGGGGGGGGGGGGGGGGGGGGAGGGCAAAAACTACTTGAGATAGTAAATAATTATTTTTCTTTTATCACGACTGCACCTTCAATTCTTTATTATACAACAAAAACATAACAATATAGCCGTCAAGAATTACCCAAATTTCAACCAAATTATTTTACAGATCAATATTCAAATTATTTAAAACTAATTTATTTAAAAAAATGCCGACTAAACAAGAGAAGGTAGAACAAGCCACGATGACAAAATCAAGTACGATAGAAATGTCAAAGATTTGATGGAAAAATTTAGATAATGTAGCAGATTATTTATTATTCTATGAAATATATTTTTTAATTTCGATAATTGTATTTTGATACACGGTAAAATTTTATCAATGGGCTCTCTGCTATTTGATTCGTTTTAATTTGGTTTTACATTAGATAAATTGCTGTGTCATCCTGAAGTTTGTCTTTACTGATGTTATACGTTACAACTGGTGGAGATGCTGGGTAGATTAGGGAAGACAAACTGAAGATCGTCGAGAAGACCTTGAGGCCATGGCTGCTATGATCTACATTTTCAGAGACTGGCTCCAGGATTCCACCGCCATGTCAAAGCCAAGAATTCCCTCCAAGATGACGATGTCTCTATAGACGATACGACGACAAAGCCGCTCTTCACGCCGCAAGAAAGGATGCAAAGTTACTAGGGACAGACGTCCAAGACTCCGAGGGAATCCTTGACAGAAACACGTCAGATCCATGTCAGTAGCAACAAGATTTTCCAAGCTGTGGGTCACAGCTCCAATAGGGAAGGAGCTATGTAGCATATTTTTT